CCCTTTTCATTCTCATTTTCTATCATTCATCAGTCATTTTCTTTTTGTAACACCAAAATATATCAATTTTGTTTCTTTTTTTCAGGATAAAGAAAGATTATACAAAGAACAGCGAGCCGAAACAGACAAACTGACGTGCGAACTAAAGAGGTGCAGGTTCAAATGCGCCAGTGCTGAAGCAAAGAGCGCGTCACAACAGGAGGCCATTGACAATCTGAGGCAACAACTCGATACTGCTAAACGATCTGAGAAGGTACGTCTTTCGCAAGTTAAGCTATTTTTTAACCGACTTCGAACAAAAGTAGTAGGTTCTCAATGACCTGTATGTATGTATGTATGTTTGTCCGCGACTCTCTCGCGATTGGCTGAACCGATTTTGATGCGGTTTTCATGAAACTGTTTGTTACATTTACGAGGTTTTAGTATATTAATATTAATTAACCGATTTTAAATAAAGAAGATGTTGAAGTCGGATTTTTAAACTTAAGTAGTCTATAAACTGCCTAGTTGTCCGAGTGGTCGCAAGTGCAACTGCCGGGCTATTATTACACATGGCAATAGGAGGATGGAATATTGTATATGGCAATCGGCTCGCCCCCTATTACATAGGACTCGTAACATAAATAGTGAAAAGTGGGTGTTATATTGTATAGTGGCATTAAGTGCCGTAATGTGCACCTCTGGGATAAAAAGGCGTGTTGTTGTGTGTTACTACTTACTTTATAGAAGAATTAGTGGTCTGTCAGTTTGTTGATGATGATGACCAAACTAGGAATCGAACTTAAGATCTCATAATCAACACTTTTGACTGCACGGTTGGTGCGGTGGCTGGGCAACCGGCTGCCGTGCAACGTGTCGCGGGTTCGATTCCCGCACGGAACAACACTTTGTGTGATCCACAAATTGTTGTTCCAGGTCTGTGTGCCATGTGTATGTGAACTTGTATGTTTGTAAACGCACACACGACACAGGAGACAATCCTAGTGTGGGGCAACGTTTTTTAAAAAAAGGAAAAAAAAAAGAACAGCGGAGTTTAAACCCACTTTAACCACTATGTAAAATCATCTTTTCAGGATTTTCGTGAATCGTCACGTAATCTCTCAACATCACACCAGAACGCCATCTCTCGGCTAGAAGCCCACATCAAAGTATTAAATACACGGAGCGATCGACAGATGGCGTTGATTGATAATTTAAGGAAACAAAACGCTCTACTAGCGACAGAGGGCGCTCTTAAGACACTTGAACGAGAGTACTGCGATTTTTTAAATCAAGATTTGTAATAAATACTTTTTGCAAGATATTTCTAACGGTATTTTTTAATTATTTTGCTGGGGTAGAAAGATAACATCGCACTTGTCCTTTGGAATTATGACCGATATCCAACTCAACTAGACTTAGCTACTACAAAGTCTTTGCCTGTGCGGCGTTGAAAGTGGTATACATTTTTCGTTGACTGTTTTTAGCCCTTCTTGCACAAAATAACAGTGAAATATCTCATATATATCGTTTTGCAGTTAGTAGCTAATTAAAGTTATTAAATAATGTGCTAAACGGTCAAATTTAATGTACTAGCCAGCGCCGGTCTCAGGAGACATTAGAGTTCACAAGAATGTGCCAATACAGGTGTACTCCCTGTACTATCACTGTAAAAATGTGATGGAAGTATGGAACGTCTTCTGCCCGGAGAGCCGATACTCTCAACTATTTAGCACAATTGTGCCTACTCGACAGGAACGAGGGCTCGTACACAAAACTGCTATGCGACGTCGCATTGCAAAAATATGCGAATTGATTCGCATCGCGCATCAAAATCTTATCTTTCCAAAATCTTCTTTGTTTCTTTTCCTGTATCTCCTAAGCAATAACAGAAGTGCACACTTCTTTTTACGAATCATGTCATGACCTAGTTTTTAATTTAAAATACGGCTGACGGACGAATGGTCACCCTGGGAGACGCCTTGTCACACAAAATCGTATCGCAACAATTCGCAACGTAATTTTTTGCGTTGCAAATTCGCATCGCATCGCATCGCAGTTTTGTGTACGACCGCTGATACCATGGCCTCACAGAAATCAGGCGTAAATCTATACGTCTTTCATCGCGTGAGACGCTTGCGGTGTGTTTCGTCTTCCCCTATACTCTTTGGTTTCATCGTGTGAATGAGGTTACCAGAGACCCAATTTCCTTCTCACCGAACTCCTCAATCTCTCTGGTGTTCCGTGTGTCCATGAGCGACGCCGATTGCTTACCATCAGGTGATCCTTCTGCTCGTTTACCATCACACAATATGAGGTCAACAAGAATAAAAATACAACGAAATTATAAAACTTCATATTTAATGGTAGAACAAGTCTTGTACATAGATTCCTATGTCGTATGCCAGTCCTCTGCCGCGCTCACTCTTCAGTCGGAGGTTGACGTAGGAGTAACCGACTCCTCCCGCCGTTATGTTGATTGAGGCTTTACTGTGCATCGTGTCTAGAGCTTGGATACCCTGGAAAAAGAGAAAATTAGATCATTAGTTATGCTATCAAAGTTTTTATGTAGATATACATAGAATAGAATCAGGCAAGGGGCAAGGGGTCTCGGGTTCGATTCCCAGGTCGGGAAAAGTATTCGTGCTCCTACTGAGATTTTAAAGAAACTGGGCACGGAGTCTGGAAATGTGCCCGGTATATGGCATTAGGCTCACCCTCTATTACATGGAACTCATAACATAAATAGTGAAAAGTGAGTGTTACATTGTACAGTGGCATTAAGTGCCGTAATGTACACCTCTGCCTACCCCTTCGGGGATAAAAGGCATGATGTTATGTTACGTAGAATCAAGCGTAGAAATCCGTCCAATGAATTCTTTCCTTCACTAACAACTGGGAAAATGGTTTTTATTTCGCTGTAGGAATAAATTGGCACCACCGGCCTCCTGACTGCAGACATATTTTTTTTAAGATGGGCCGTCATTTGTCCAATATCTCGCCTGGTAGTACCTAAGCGGTGATGCGGTCTACGATGTAGCACGTCGTCCTATAAGCAACCTATTCACTCGGGCCTTGAAGACACCCAGGTTACATTAAAAGTGGATGTTACATTTTATCTCCAAAATGATAAATTAATTTTAACTTACAGCGGACTTCTCAGAAATGTTTTTAAAACTTCACTTGATTATTTATAATAAGTATATATCGTTATATATTATAATTTTAATTGTTTCTATAAATATAAAGTACTATTTGTACGACAAATCTAATCTATCATTTGTGTTCAGGGGCATAAGTTCAATGTCGGGACTGATTATCTTACAATATGTGAAAATAAAATGTATCATTTTATACCAATGGTTAAACTATGTCTGAAGAAGTTCTAGAAAATATCAGAGCAGAGCAGGGCTTGATACTAATTAGCTTGCTATTTTGAAGCGAATGATATTTCTGCCACTATTGATATCAATACATGTTTATTAATGTATTGACAAGAAATTATTGGATCCCCCTGGGAGCTTACTCTCAATTCCGATCGATCGACATTGATAGTGAAATTTCGTACTCTTGAGTTGCAACACTAGCGCCCATTGCATCCGTATTGCTGTGTGGATATTTAATGAACTAAATGGTATTGGGTTTGGCTTTATATTCCATACTCTGAATGTATGATTTTTTTGTAAGGGGGGAAAATAATCGAATAACTGCTCCCGCCTTAGTGTCAGACTCTTACTGACTAAAAACCACCCCGTTCCTTCTCCTGCACGTCGAGCCGGAGCCCCGGCTACCCGTTAGGTTCTTCGCGACACTCTGAATGTACGATAGGGGTTGTATAATTGGGACATTGAATAATTATTGAGATTTTATTGGATTTAAATTGCAGTAATTACATTAAAATTGATTTCAAGAGTGCCCAGATCGTCGGGCCAGCTCAAGGACAAACCAGCATCGAGGTTATTACACCACAATACAAATAGCTGCAAACAGGAGCCGATGGAGACAATTCGTCCGATCCATACTGATGCCAGGATGACCACGATCCTCAGTCATAAGGCGACGACCGGAGAGAGAGAGGTATACCTAGCAATGGACCGAATTGAGGGCATACAACAATGACAACAATTTTATAACACACACACATAAAAACTGTTCATCATCAACAGTTAAGTGTCCACTGCTGACCAAAGGCCTCTTCTCACACGGAGAAGGTTTGAGCATTAATCACGACGCTTGCTCAATGCAAGTTGGCAATCTCAAACTTATAATTAGAAATTTTAAGCCTAAGTTTCCTCACTATGTTTTGCTTCACCGTTTGTCAGTGGTGTCTAAATAATCTTAGAGAGTACATATAACTCAGAAAATGTCACATTGGTACTTGTCATTGGTAGGTTTCGAACCCGCATCCTCATGCATTAGAAACGGGCGAAAAAACTGTTGGTAAATTACAATCTCAATGTTACTATATCTGCTTCTCGCCAGGCTTGGGCACATCATATTATGTTTTTGTTCATAGATGAGATAAATCTTATACTATATATAAAGCGATGAGTTTGTTTTTTTGTTTGAACGCGTTAATCTCCGTAACTACAAGTCTGATTTGAATAATTATTTTTGTGTTGGATAGCGCATTTATCGAGGATTTATGTAGGCTATAAAACATCACGCTACGACCAATAGGAGCTGAGCAGAGCGTGTGAAACCGCGGAAGTAGCTAGTTAGATAATTAGTCTATTGATCTATTCCAATGATCATTATGTATTTCGGTTTTCCCCTGACTCACATTCTGTTTATTCCTCTGGTTAGTGACGGAAATTCGACGAATCTTCTAATTCTAACATAAGTACATGTACTTTATCGTTTGTACTTCCCCGATACCCGGATGGAATACATAGATTAATGAAATTAAGCCCGCTGTTTTTTTTATAGCTGTTTTTTTTTCAATCGAGATGATGACAGGGTATGAAAATTAAAAATGTAATTAGTCCGTCAGTTAGGTATCTAATTAAAAAATATTAGACACGTATTTTTTTATTTTGTCGTATAATAAAACAATACTTAGATAAAACAAATCAAAACTTAGGAGTGGGGGCTGAAACGTCATTTCTTAGTATAAAATGTACATAGAAGTGACGTCACGCGACATTTCAAATCAATATATCTTCGAAACTATTCGTGTCTGTAGGGAATTAAAAAATACGTGTCTAATGTTTTAAATATCTACCAGACGGACATTGAAATAAAAATTAGTCATCTACCCTATTAAACCATAATTTGGTATTTTTAAAACGTCAACAAATACAAAATAAATAATAGTCTGTCAGTCAGTCCGTCAGTGAAGCTAGGTGAAGCTAGGTGCTCATTCCAAAATGTAGATTCGAATGGAGAAGAACGAGCAAGAAACTCCATTCGTTACTCTTTTAAAAAAGTATGTATTAACGTCACACAATATAATCCCCGATAGAGTAGGAACCATATACTTATGGTATATTCACTTTTCCAACAGTTTTTTTTTTAAGAATAGCAGGCAAACGATCAGCGCCGTCCATGGACACCCGCAACACCAGAGGAGTCACAGGTGCTTTGCTATTTGTTAACAGTTGGTTAGTAATGTGTCCCATAACTAACTGTTGAACCATGTCGTAGATGTCATGCCCTATTCTTATAAGTGAGCTTGTTGCCATAATTTTATTATATTCAGAATTCAATCCATGCTATTATTGAGTTTAAAAAACCGAATAAAGCCAATAAAATGAACACTTTCCCCAATGCGGGAGTTGAATCAGAGATTTTTGATTCACCATCCCTACTCTCTACAAAAAGGCCGGTAACGCACTTGTAACGCCTCTGGTGTTTTAGGTGTTCACGGGCGACGCCGATTGCTTACCATCAGGTAATCCATCTGCTCATTTACCGGCGCATCCCATAAAAAAAATGTGGAAAAGGTTCATAGTCCAGAGGACTGTCACAAAACATGATGATGTATAAAAACGAATAATAAAATATCTTACCTGAATCAGCCGGTTGTCCGGTTGTGTATAGAAGAAGTACTTAACTCTCTTAATAAAGGGTATAGCATTATACTCCACCCGTGCTTGGTTCGCCAAAACAACTCGATTAGCCACATTACCTACTATTAAATGATTCGCATAAACCACTGACAAACAGACAACTAAACCAACTAGTATTAACTTCATTTTGATTTCAATTAATGTTATTTTATTATATTTTAATATTATGTTATGAAACACGTCTTATTCGGTTCGAGACTAAGTTGATAATGAAAAGTTCATCACATGAGTTATCAGTTTGTTAATGTAGTGATTGGAGTTGTTGTAGTTTAAGTTCGAGATTTGGAAATTTGTGTAATGTCTAATTTTAAATCGGCTTCAAAATACAAAATGGAGGTTCTCAGTATGTATGTATACCTATTTGTTTGTGCCTTTGCGCAATTATCTCGCAGATTGTAACTTTCGTGAGACATACTAAATAAATTTTTATGTTTTCGGCTTACTCACGTAGTAATTTGACGAGGAACGGGTCAGTCAGGAAAAGGTCAGTAGCAGCGCGACAGTCGCCGCGTCGCGGGTCGTGAAATGCTGCTCATGAATATGAGTCTCTAGCATGGCTTGAAACTGGTCGAGTTCCTCGTCAAATTACTAAGACGAAATCATAATAAATTATCTCGCAGATTTTGATGAGGTTTTCAAAAAAGCGTTTCTTATACTTATGAGAAGTTTTTAGTGTATCTATTAATTAAGCGACTTTAAAAAAGAGACGGTTGAAGTAGGTTATTGAAACATTATTTCTCCAATCCCCAACAATCTTCAAATTCTTAATCCCCAAAGGCCGGTAACGTACTTGTAACTCAGTAAAAACATGCTCGGTAGTTTCTTGTGCAATTATGAGTTCCCAGTAAATCCTACGAAAGAGTTCATCCTAAATCGTATAATGCTCAAATGAAAAAAAAACAGTTATTATATAAAAATAATCTTTAAAACTATTACTACAACATTCTATTGTAAGTATCAACGTCACACAATACCATTAATAATACTAACATTACAATTGAAAATCAATTTTAGCAGACGGACATAGCGTTCAAGTTACTTTAATATTAAATAAGGCCTATATTTTAGCACTGATTCTTACTTTTTATAGCTTTGTTTTTGGGACCAGTCCACCACAACCTCCCAAAACCGCTACAACTCCTATGCATCAGGATCAGTAGATACAACCATGCAAACACCGGAACACTGAAGTCAAACGTCTCAGGGACATGAATAACTGTCTTGGTTCCCGCAACGAAAAAATACAGAACACATTTTTAGATGAGAAGAAAAAACACAATAACCAGCTAGTGTATTATGTTTACACGACACAGAGCCATGCTTCGACACTTCTGGGCCTTACAGTACTCCAGCATAAAACATCACTTGTTTTAGAGAGGAAAAAATTATCTAATGACTTCTCCATCCTTGAGTAAGGCGAGAGAGAGTGTCAGACTCTTACTGACCACCTGGTTCCTACTCCTGCTTAAAGCCGGAGCCTCGGCAACCCGTTAGTTTTTTTTATAATGGGACAAGCTCGCCACACCCTCCCAAAACCGCTGCAACTCCTATAAGCCAGGATCTACAGTAGATACAACCATGAAAACACCAGAACACTGAAGTCCAACGTCCCAGGGACATGAATAACTGTCTTGGTTCCCGCAACGAAGTGAATTAGAAGATATTATAAGAGGAGAAGAAAAAAAAGATAGTTTCCCCTTCCCTCAGTGAATTACTGCAGGAGACGAAATGAATTAAGCCTGAAGGCACATAAAAGAGACTGTACAACTGGGTGAAGCCCTGTCGCCAAGCACCACGGAAACCCATTAGTTTGTCCGCAGCTTCTGGGGTGAAACCACATATAACTATGCATATATTTCGCCGTGTCAGTGGTGTTACTGAAGGCCCAATTCTTTTCCCCATTCCCTAATCCAAGGCTTACTCATATTACATGGAATCCAAACCGAACTGGCAGAAGGACAAACGAAAATATTATGGTCTGCGACAGTCGCTGTATACAGGTCGCTTCCAACCTCACGATGTGTAGTCATTGGGAGAGGACTCAAAGTCAAAGTCAAAATCATTGATTTCAATTAGACCAGGAAGGCACTTTTTCACAAATAGAAATATAAAAGTGAAGCTATTTGCTCATTCCAAGGTGTAGATTCCTATGTAGAAGAACGAGCAAGAAACTCCATAGGTTAATCTTTTCCAATCAGGTTCACAATACAATTCTCCAGTTACATAGTTTTGCTGTTTGGATTGTGCGAGAACAATGTAACACCAAAATCCAGTCAAAGAGATCGAAAAAGAAAATAACCTTAAAGACAATAAATAATGCAGTCTGGATCTGACCAGTCCCAGTTGACGGCGCCCGTTCACGAACATGACACGTACACCAGCACCGCCCAACTCAACCATATTGCAGGGAATCTAGCGATCCAATGCACGTGCCACCGCCAATGAGATCTTTGAGTGAACATGAAAACTCCAAGCTGACATAAATGCATTCTACTAGTCCAATTTAATATTAAGTTAATTACAGGGCTCTCACATTTACAATGATTATGTAAGTTAAACAATATACATTTTAGTAACTAGATTGTAATATTTACATGTTTGGATTTCATTGAAACATTAGTGTTTTCAGCACGATGACACCTAGCAAAATGTATTTAATTAGTTATGATGTTGTGTTCTATACATTCTAATCAATTCCAGTTACGAGTTCAGAGATCAATCGGTTAGTTCAATAATTCTGTTTAGTATGACTCATCTTATTGTGTCATCTCAGTACAAATCTTACAGTAATTCCTTGGAATTTAATGTAAACAAGATTACCGCTAAGATTATAAATTGTAAGTATTAGTTCTTAATCATCATCAACAGCCCATGGAGGATAATCATTCAATTACTTCTTCCGCCGTTGGCAGGGTGGTCACAAGTGCGACTGCCGGACAAGGGATCTAGGGTCGGGCAAAGTATTACTGGGTTTTTAAAGAATAAATTCTCAGTAGTAGGACGGAGTCTGGAATTCTGCCCGGTATATGGCAATTGCCATAGGGCCTATTAATAGGCTCACCCCTATTACATGGGACTCATAAATGGGACACATAAAATAGTGAAAACTGGGTGTAACATTGTACAGTAGCATTAAATGCCGTAATGTACATACATCTCTGCCTACTCCTTACGGGATACGGCGTGATGTTATTTTATGTTCTCACGGCTTGGGTGAGGCAAGAGGGCACTCCCTCTTGTCAGACTCCTACTCCTGCTTTGAACCGAAGCCCCGGTAACTCAGTAAATAGTCCGCAGCTCCGGATCGGGCATCAGCCTTGCTGGGTTCCATCTGTGGTGGTATGATGGCTCTTACAGTCCGGTGCTGAACTATGGACTACCCCTACGTGAGCAGGATTGCACATAATGTTCATGCAGGCAGACTATTTGAAAGATCGCAGTGTAAAAGGTTCAGGTGTATCACAGAGGTTGCTGCCCGGTCTCTGTCAAATGTGTAGTCTATTACGGCCAAAATTAAAAAATCCTATCTCAATCTGGTGATGCGTGTGTCCATGGGCGACGCTGATCGCTTACCATCAGGTGATCCGTCTGTTCGTTTACCGACTATTCCACAAAAAAAAACTGTAGATTAAGCTACGACGTTAAAAAATAGGCGGACGACATAACGTCACTTAGAAACGCTTGAAGCACCAAAATGTTAGTAGGTTATATGTGTGCATGTGTAATAGGCTACCACGTTACCAGACTTAAGAAAGTGATGTCTTTCATGTCAATGTGTGTGTATTCTGCGTGTAACTCTATAGTAGCCAGGTGCCACTGTCGTTGGTGTAAGAGACTGTGTCTGCCTTTTTTTCTACGACCTTGGAACTGAGTAAGATCAATTTATTAACTAAAAATCGCGGGTTACTCACTTGAATATACTGAGCAAGTAGCAACACCGATGCGAGCGCCAACGCTAGCCAGTAGGCTGCGTGCGCGACATCGCCGCGACCGCGCACGCTGCTCATGAGGAAGAACCCCTCTGTGGTTCGAAACTAGTAGAGCTTTTCTCAGTATATTCCCGTGAGTAACCCGTGATTTTTAGTTAATTTAGTATGTCTCACGATAGTTATTATAAAAAGATTAATTTATGTTAGATATATTAAATGTTTTTGGAAGTTAATCGACCCATAAGTGAGATACTATTTGCTTATACCCACAGAAGGAATAGGGGTGGTAATACAAGTATTATAATCTACGTTCCCACTCATTAACGGCTGGTTCTTTAGTAGTGCAGTGACAAACGTACAATTTTCTTATTAAATAATTAAAACAAAATTATCGTCTATCACTTAATAAAACTGTTTGCTCATTCCGAACTATGGACTTTTGCGCAGAAGAACGAGCAAGAAACTCCAGTCAACCTCCGTGGAGATACCACAGACAAAGCGTTTAAGCAAACCAAATTCTTTGAAATGACATCTGGAGATGACAGAAAGAAAAACAAGAGCATATCGTAGTGCGATCGTGGTGTAATAATTTTAAGTTTTTATTTGATTGTTCATCGATATATACATGGTATCATGCAAGGAGCGAATGTTATAATTAGTAGCCAATGTTATTTATCAATTTTGTATGGTAAGTCCGCACTTATGATTTTTTTCCATCTCATAATCTTCGGCCCTTTGGTCAAATCATTTTTCATGTTCCATCTAGGATAACTCAATTATATCTGTACTAGTTTTATTCGCGTTTTCCTGAGAGAATTTTAATTCTGGGTTTTTTCCAAATTTTGACAGTTGCAGAACATTTCAAAAATGGACCTCGTCCATTCTTCAAATGTACATGTCAAAGTCTAATTTTGAAAAGAAACTGTAACCCTTGAGGTGGTCTTTTCAAATGTAGGTGGACGACTGGCTGCTGGTGACGGGTCAGGGGTTCGATTATCGTACAGATCAAGCCCTTGTGTCATCCACTAATTGTTGTTTCTGGTCTGGGTCTGATATTGTGTACGTGCACTCACGACACGTAAAAAATGAAGATCCTGTCTTAAATCATGGAGGATCTCCTATGTGATCTACCTTTAGACAAACATCACACAACAACAGCCTATAAATGCCCACTGCTGACCAAAGGTCTCTTCTCACACGGAGAAGGTTTGAGCATTAATCACCACGCTTGCTCCATGCGGTTTGGCGATTTCAAACTTATAATTAGAAATTATAAGTCCAGGTTTCCTCACGATCTTTTCTTTTACCGTTTGTCAGTGGTGTCATAATGTTAGAAAGTACATATAATTCGGAAAAAGTCACACTGATACCTGCTATTAGTATAGTAGGTTTCGAACCCTCATGCATGAGAAGCGGGTGTCTAAGAGCTCGTACACAAAAGTGCGATGCGATGCGAATTCGCAATGCAAAAAATTACGACACGAATTACACCGATGCGATTTTGTGCGACAAGGCGTCTCCCAGGGTGACCATTCCTTCAACGACCGTCAACCGTACTAAACGTATTTTAAATTGAAAACTAGGTCGTGACATGGTTCGTAAAAAGAAGTGTGCACTTCTGTTATTGCTTAGGAGATACAGGAAAAAGAAACAAAGAAGATTTTGGGAAGATAAGATTTGATGAGCGATTCGAATCAATTCGCAAGTTTTTGCGATGCGACGTCGCATCGCGGTTTTGTGTACGAGCCCTTAGACCTCCGGGCCACTAGGATATCGTAGGTTATATATAATATTCTGCGAATACCTTTTGTCTATAAGATAATAATATAATATATTATTAAAGGTATACTTGTTTATATACTGGGTCACTGGTAACTCGACGTATTTCTTGCAGGAAGTCATAGTAGGGTTAAATTGCAGCAAATTAGGCCACCAAATGTTCTACAGAAGTTCAGTAGTTATTGAGTTATTTAGATTTTTTGGTTTTTGTGAAAAGATCCCAGATTCAATCATTTGGAGCCAATTTAAAAATGATTTACAGCGCGACTGTGCTGAAATTTTAGTTAATATCATAGTTGATGCCGTAGCAGATCTTTGTAAATAATTAAAAGTTCAAAAATGCCAAAAACTTTGGCAAATATCACTGAAAAACATATTTTTTTTTTGTGATTTTCGTTATGTCTTCATACAAAAAGTTGGCATGTGAAAAAAATACTACGCCTGATGTACAAGTTTTTAGATGTCTAAAAACTTGACTGAATTAACTTGACTTCAACCTTGACTTTCTAAAAACTTTCTGACCATTATCTCGCCTATTATGTGGTAAGCGATAATGAGGTCTACAGTCGTCGAGATCGGAGCCCGTCGACCCTGGTTATACTCTTCAGGAAACACAGAGTCTGGCGAAGAATTCCACTCCTTAGCTTCCTTGTAGCTTGGCGCGAACCACTCCGTGCTGTGGGTGAGACATCAACCATGAATCGGTGACACTTCGCCGATTGTCTTGTGGTGATGATGGAAAAGACTAGGGGGAATCAAGTTGGGTATCAGACTCTTACTGACTAAAAACCACCCCGTTCCTTCTCCTGCACATCGAGCCGGAGCCCCGGTAACCCGTTAGGTTCTCTGCGACTCCGAATCGGCATCGGCCTTGTTGGGTGTGTGTGGTGTGCTGTGGTGGTCTGATGGCGCTTTGAGGCGCGCGCGGAACGCTCGGCGCCGTACGCTCGGGTCTGTTTCTGGTCGGACGGGGAGCCACCCATGCTCGCCGTCCGCAGGCCCGCGCTTACGGTGGCCGGAGATCGTCCCGCGATCCTCGACGCCCGGTGTGTCCTTCGCGATGGCTGGGTTGCGAGGAGGCAGCGAAGCGCTGCCTCACGCGTCCCACCTCCTCCTTAGCTAATATAACTGCTTCGCAAAAGGAGGAGACGGCACCCCAGTCCCCCTCGCTCCACATAGATGGAACAGGGATAGATTATGGTCTGAAATAACAATAAGCTATATAACAATATTTGTAACCCACGGGAACGCGGCCGCCGGCGGTACTAGCTTCTGTAATGTAATGCGACGTCGGATCGCAAAAATGTGCGAGCTCCCTCTACGCATCGCAAGAACTTGCGAATTGATTCGCATCGCGCATCAAAATCTTATCTTCCCAAAATGTTTGTTTCTTTTTCCTGTATCTCCTAAGCAATAACAGAAGTGCACACTTCTTTTTACGATCCATGTCACGACTTAGTTTACATTTTAAAATGCGTTTAGTACGGTTGACGGTCGTCGAAGGAATGGTCACCCTTAAAGACGTCAAAGCAGTAATTACTGCGATGCCATTTCGTGCGACGTCTCGCATCGTAATTTTCTACGTTGCGAACTCGTATGCATCGCATCGCAGTTTTATGTACGAGCTCTAAGGAGCTACCGAGGATCACACGGATCACCTGATGGCAAGCAATCAGCGTCGCCCATGGACATCCTGACTGGAGAAAAAGGAGGTTTTATTTTCCCTTCTAATTAGGTTAAAACTCTTCCTTCAAGTTACTTGGTTGTAAGCAGTTGTGGATTTTATAGGCAATAGCCTTCCTCGATAGATGAGCTATACAAAACAAAAAGAATGATTCAATTGGACTTAGTAGTTCCAGAACTAAGAAGAAGTCCAAATAAAGAAACTCTTCAACTTTATATAACCTTAATCTTATTATATAACGCTGAAGAGATTGCTTGTTTGTTTGTTTGGACGCGGTAATCTTAGGAACTGTTGGTATAATTCCTCGGCTTATAATCACCATCACCATCACGCTACGGTCAATGGGAGCCGAGCAGAGCTAGTGAAACCACGCCGCGGTAGCTAGCTTTTTTATATTTGTCAATAAATAAAATACATCAGCTCAACTTCGTCTTTTTTATTACCGAACGTATCGGAAAGATTCACATAATAATGTTAATGTAGGTGCAATAAGCGACATAAGATCGCTTAGAGTTTGTTTTAGAATGGACAAATATGTAAAAGAACCAATCTTCTGTTTCAGTTTATTATATCTGATGGTGCATGTTGACAGCCACACTATATCTAAAAGTATTGATAACGACCAAAGAGTAGATGATATATTTGACTCTATCACCGACTTAGAAGGCACGAGAAGCCCCAAGCAGAGGAGAGACAGGATACAACACAAGTACAAGTCAGACTACAAAGATGAATTCGTGAGACCCGAGTATGTCTTCAAAGACACCAAACTGTACTCAGATACAGACAGGACGACCCAAAAAGCAAGTCCAAAGCCTTCCACAGAACACTCCAAACACCACAAGTCACCAAAACGGAGAGTTGGAAGTTTCTGGAGGAAACTCAGAGGCAAAGATAAAAAGATCAAAAATGAAAATATTTCAAGGAGTCGAAGAATATCGAATAATCGAGGTTTTGCACCAAAGTATACCATCGCTGCAGTTCACCGCTCCAGCCAACTCAAGAATAAGAAGAAAAATAAAAATGCATTCACCCCACGCCCGGAAGTTGGACATGGGGTGGGTACCCCACACCCACCTGACGGCAAATATGTTAAGAGGGACCTCGATACTGCGATCACCGAAAATCTCCCAGCTATTGCGCACTCCTCAACCGCTGCGCCAATATCCAACAAGAATCCTTACTCGTCGCGCTCCAACTGCAAGCTACGAATCGGCATAACGCCCCAATCCGACAACATGCAGAAAAATAAATTCAGAATAAAAACTGTAGAACCTTACAAGATGACGGAGAGGGTTGTGGACCCGTTGGAGGAATCGGAGGCATCGCAGAGCAGTGACAGCGGTTCTTTAGAGACCTTATCTACGCAGCTGGCGCAGCTAAAAGAGAAATATGGATTAACTAAAGCCAGTTCGACCTACACTTTATCGGCATCAAAACACAGAACAGAAACTTCGACTCCCAAAAGTACGACGGCTACTGAAGCAGAGTTTGGAGGCACGGCACAAATAGAAGCATTGCTAGACGATATCAAGATGAAAGCCATAGCAAGGATTACTCAAGAAAGTCCCATGGTGACCGATATTATCACTAACACTGTCACAGAGGCGACTTTCGAAGTTGACCATCTACTCTCACAGGTCACGCCAGGATATAACAAGGACGCTATCGAGTCATCAAATGATATTTCCAAACGTAATGCTAAAAGGACCGTTTCGTCTGAGGATGAAAATAAAATCTATCTAAAAGATCCTACATCAACACCTAGTACAGAGTCTCATTATGTAGCTGCTCGGTCGATCAAGGAAGACACAATAACTATGGCCCACAATGTAGAAGATATGTTGCAGAGGGAACTGAAGAACATTTACAATAAAGTTAAACATAAAGTGTCCAGCGATTTCCGTAAAGAAATTAACAAAGCTAAATGCACGATTAAAGAAGGTCTTCATAAAATATCTACCTGTGGTAAATGTAGTAATATCACCACCACTAAGACAACTGTAAGAATGACAACCCCTACAAAGAAGGCACAGATAGTTAGTCAAAGCCACAAGTCTGTTGCTACAGAGAGAGAAAAGGCAACGTCTAGACATGCCCGGAACACTCCGACACTTAAGACTACTCCGAAGTCAGATTTAGAATTCACGAAGGTTACTTATGATGACTATGTGATGCTGACTCTATACGAAGAGATGCTAGCTAAAACTCACGAAGAAAACGTTAGAAAAATGCTTGCGACCGCTAACGTAACACCTCCGAAGAAGAGGAGGCATCATATCAAGTTGTCCAAGAGAAATCCTGAGACTCTCACTAATGTCAAACTTAGAGAAGTGGTTGAGAAGTTGTACGATGATGGCGGTAACATGCCTGAGTATGATTATATTGAGCCATCAATAAACGTGAACATGTCAATGCCGTCTTCTGACATGCCAGACTTAGATAGCGGGTCCCTGGAGCCGGTGGTTGTACCAGACACCATTATGGCGGAACCAGACCAACACATCCACAATTCAGTCCCCTCCTCAACGGTGTCTGGCACTGCGGAAGACCTATCTGACACTAGTTTGGAAGGCTTGAGCAACAAGATATCGTATAACGACTTCGTGAACGGTTACAAACACTACCTAAAATTTCAGAAAGAGCAAAGTAATCAGAACTTTTCCAACTTAGTGAAGTACCAGGCTCACAGGCATCATAGCGTCGATGATATTGGAAAATTTATTCTTAATAAGATTCCTCCGTTGCCCTCTCTAAGGGGAAAAAGATTTTTGGACGAGACTGACATGGATTACCAAGAGATCACTACCAAAAGCGACGATTCTTGGTTTAAAAGGCACTTTTACCTCTTCATTGACAACGGTCCACCGAAAAAGTTTCACACAGCTCAAACTGTAGAGCTGAAATCTGCTGCAACTGAAGCGCCGAAAACATATGTGACGAATCCCATGTTACCTCAACCTGTCCAAAAAGACCAAGTTTACATCAACATAGGTGCAGATGAAGGACAGGTAGGACTTAGAACTACCATGGATACATCATCGATGAATTTGGAAGATCTCTCGAAAGTTTTGGATTCCATCAAGAGCAAACAAACTATAAGCCCCTACTTGAGAGGTACGAATTTTTCTAATGATTTCTAAGACGTGTCTGTTATCGGCGTATTATACATGTGTTAATTTTTTAATATCGTAAATATTTTTTTTCGGTTCTAGGCTTAAAGACACATAGCAAGCCTTATGTCATGTCCAACGCCACTGTTACAGAAAATGCCATTCTGCAAATCAGAATGATGCCACAGAATGTTATTGGCAAACTTTTCGGAGGGAATCGAAGACAGGCCCATCCAAGAAATCGATGGACTTATTCAGATGACTGGTCACCTATAGATATGTTCACAGAAACCCCTTCGAACAGATGGAAGAGAACAGTGAAAGGTAGCGTCACTATAATGGAAGATTTCATCAACAAAGACCTAGAAGACAAACCGACTACCGGATCGAAAGAAGTTTTCGCTGAACCAGCCATTAAAACGAGAGAAACGAACAAATACGGATACGTTGACATAGATCTAGTGCCGAGACAAACGGCGGTCGTGAAGCTACGGGAGAACACGAAAAAGAGCAAATTCAAAAACTTTTTTAAAAGATTCCGTTTTAAGAAAAACAAAGGCAAAGCTAAGCAGAGTAAACGCTCGGCAAACGGCTATTACGGGGATGACACCTACGGCTATGGACATAGGCGATCAAGGTTCAATCCTATAAAGAAGTTAAAGGATATGTTTCGTGTGAAACCTGAGCCTGGAAAAGAGGAGAGTCCGGTGTATAACATTCCACCGAACATGCCCGATTACGACATGATGACGTCACACATAGATACGTTCAAGCCTGTAAAGTATGACAAGCCGATGTCGCTTGATGAGATGCAGAGAGAGATTCCTAACATCAGCGATATAGATGCCCTAGTGACGAAGCCGACGACGGGGCGCAGTTCGTTCCATTATCGGCTGGACGAGAATGACAGCGCCTTATTGTCTAATGACCATGCTTCTTCCCCCATGCCTTCCCTGCCGGAGCAGAAGGTATACTCTTCAGAAACTCCTCAAGCAACTCCACAAGAATTGGGTAAGTTTCCTGCATGGAGTCCTCTTTTCACTTAATACTTACCTCCTAAATTTTTTTGAGAAAAGAATGAGTTAACATTATGTAATATCTCGCCTTTGATCCCCGAATGGGTAGGGCAGAGGTGCACATTACAGCACTCAATGCCACTTTACAATGTAACATCCACTGTTCACTATTTACTTTGACTCCACGGTTGGTGCGGTGGCTGGGCAACCGGCTGCCGTGCAACGTGTCGCGGGTTCGATTCCCGCACGGAACAACATTTTGTGTCATCCAGAAATTGTTGTTTCGGGTCTGGGTGTCATTGTGTATGTGAACTTGTATGTTTGTAAACGCACCCACGACACAGGAGAAAATTCTAATGTGGGGCAAAAAAAAACTATTTACGTTATGAGTCCCGTGTAATAGGGGGTGAGCCTATTGCCATATACCGGGCACAATTACGGACTCTGTGCTACTACTGAGAATTTTTTGAATACCCAGTAATACTTAGTATGAGTTGAGTCTTGTCTTAATGCCTTTTGCTTAGTAAAATAACTGATGCAACCGTATCTTCCTCTTCGAGCTTTGTGAATCTTAAACCGCTTGTTTGATTAGTTTCCTCAGATGTTAATTATAGGTTCCTATCATAAAGATAAACACAGAGCCGTCCCGCTCCACGTGACGGTAACCGATGGCTCTCTGTGACGTCGTCCGTAATATCTAGTACATTACAACTGCTCAGTGTCGCGTTGCCGTCCCGTCCCGCCGCGCCGCGCCCGCTGTGTGCAGATACCTTTAGGCAAAATTGTTCCCAGTCGATACCAAAAAAGAAATATTTAGGATATTGTCTCTACAATATAACTAGGGTGTCTTCAAGTCCCGAGTGAACAGGTTGCTCATAGGTAGGCGTGCTCCATCGTTGGCCACATCATCGCTTACCACCAGGCGAGATAGAGGCCAAACGTCGACATATCAAGTATAAAAAAAATAAAATTCCATCTGATAATATAATAATATACAGGGTGCCCTGAAGTTGACGATCAAATAGTACCAGGTGATTGGCAGATTGGCAATTCAGACAAAAATAAATAGAATTACAGTAACAAGATTTAGAAGACGGGCATGAACACATGTACTTTTTTGTGGATAATACGTCATTGTAACTAATTTATAAACTACTAGCAGCCCGTCCCGGCTTCGCACGGGGTAGACAATTATTTATTTTTGGAAATTTGGATTGTTGTAGTGACATAACTACAATAGTTGGATATATGTTACCATGGAGCTTTTTGTAGACATTATGATGTTCTTCAATATTGTGGTACATTATTTTGTTCTATCGCTAATAGTTTCGGCAGCGCATTCGACTAAAGACATTTTAAGACTCATTTTTCTACACCTTCGGTTACATTGTTCAAATTTTACCAAGGATCTTTAATTTTTTTCAAAATGACATATAGCCTATGTCAAATTGGAAGAATGTAGCATTCTATTGGTGAAAGAATTATTTAAATCGGCCCAGTACTTTTTGAGCCTATTCAATACAAACATACAAAAATAGGTACAAATCTTTCCTCTTTATAATATTAGTATAGATATAGATATGACTTGGAATATTTTCTATATTTTTCTGATAACTGTTGGAATCTTGCCGATCACCTGATGCCATTTGATCGTCGACTTCTGTGACACCCTGTATTTGTGATCCAATTTTCATTAGAAACATTACCTGTGCTCAGAGGTGGATTGAGCCTGAAGAGCACTCCATAAGTACCCCTAATGTTTCGGGCGCCACCGCAATTCTGAGGGTAGTTGGTTGTAACCTGGCGCCCTGGGCTGGATAATACGACTCTGTCTGGGTTAGGAGCTGAATATGTTTTAAAAACAATTTTAAAATTTGAATTCGTTTACCAGACCTTCCAACTGACTGGCGTGAGGCAGCTGTTGCAATCACTGGCCAAACCCTGAAAACAGGTAAATATTTGAACTAGTTGTCACTCAATCAATTTGAATATATGTATAACGTACATGTATAATAAATAGCTGACTAAATTTTATTTTAATGTCCGTCTGGTAGATTTTTTTAAAACATTACACACGTATTTTTTATTTTCTTACAGAAACTAATACTTTCGACGACATATTGATTTGAAATGTCACGTGACGTCACTTCTATGTACATTTTATACGTAGAAATGACGTTTTAGCCCCCACTCCTAAACTTTGACTGGTTATATCTAAGTATCATTTTATTATACAACAAAATAAAAAAATACGTGTCTAATATTTTTTCATTACCTAACTGATGGACTAGATTAGATTTTTAATTTTCATACCCTGTCATCATCCCTATTGTCAATATATAGTACACTCCTCCTTTGACTACTGTGCATTACGCCTTTCCTTTAAAAGGTATGAATCATGCTGACTATAAGGAACAGCTGGAGCAATAAGATCACCTGATCCTTACTGTTACCGAACATTTCCAAAAACCCAAAATCACATCCAAGTCTTTGTCCCTCTATACAAGAACAAAAAAACTGTTCACAGCTCAAAAGGACCCGACACCATTAACACCAGTATACAAAACCACAACAGCAGCAACTACAAAGTCTACTACTATTACAACACAAGCGACGACCACCATCAGACCTACAGAGGACAATGCCAAGAAGGCCAACATTCACTTCAATAAAATCACCAAGACACTGAAAACAACAGTCCAGCAGAGGCAACCACCAAACAATGTGATGACTGTTAACCTAAAGACTTTGAAACCACCCAAAACTAAATCCACCAGAGTCTCAAAAGTCACCAAACGGAGTACTACAACCATGACATCCACCTTCACTACCACCACAACTCCTCCTCCTCCTACAATGCAATCCACTGAAGTATATAAGGCTGAACCTGCTCAACTGTTCAAAACTAGTCCCTCAGACCTATTTGACAGTTACTCCACAGACCTGTTTGACACAGAGGCCCCTCATGTCATGACGTTAGATGATATAAACCTCATACTACGAAACATTCAACACAAACTCCAAAAAATTACATCAACCGAGTATCCTAAGATATCGACGACCTTCTTCAAAAGAGGAACTATGTATGGCAGGAAAAACTATAACATTCCAGTATCGATACCTAAGCCACCGAGGGAAATAGAGGAGCTGACGGTCAAAACAAAACTGACAAGGATCGCTAAGTTCCCAATTACAAAACGGCAGTATAAAGTAAAGAATGTACAAGAAATACCAGTACACGATGAAAGCGATTACCCCGGCATCAATGACGAACATGTAAAGGAGTACCCACGTTTAAGAAATCGGAATTCAGTCACAGACATGAAAGTTGCCGGAAAACCCAAGCAGTTTTATTCTTCTACGCCCAAAGACAGATCGGGCAAAAAGAAGTACACAGACTTCTTCAATGACTTAGTGATGTGGCACAATGATATACTGAACCTAGACAAAGTACCGAGCCCAGTGTGGAACGATATCTTGCACAAAGTTCAGGGGAACGCTGTGGAAAGTTACACTACTCCAAACATGACCGACATTTTGAAGGAATTAAAGGAAATGAACGAGTACTTGGCCGAAGCCGATCTGGCTTCAATTGAGAGAGTAAACCATTCACAGAAGATGGAGTCGTTCGACATGCGGAGGCGTCCTAAAGTACATAAGCAAGGAATGATTCAGAGCGTGGCCATGGATGATAATGCAATAGTGACGAGCAAAGATTTCTTGATCCGAGGGGAAGCGAAGTACTACCAGTATAACAGGCCTGGCTTAATTGCGAAGAAGATAAAGTCCAGTGACTTTATCACGAAATTAAACAGACTTGGTGCTTATGATGATGAAGAAATTAGCAAAGGTACACTAAAGATTCACTGTCATTGTACAACTAAAGTAGTCTTAATTTAGTAGTATCCACATTGCAGAATCGAAACCTGCAGCATTATAGTCATCATCGTCATCCTGTTCGCGTTCACTGTCCAACATAGCATTACCTTCCAGCACCCCACTGAGGTTAATCTTCAGGTTCTAAATGGTTCGGTTTTAGATGTTCCTAGACGTTTAGATCTTTCTTCATTACAGAACGTCGATATTGATGTTGCCAGAACTACGTCTATTTACATGTTTAGTTCTTCGGTTTTAGATGTTCCTAGACGTTTAGATCTTTCTTCTCCGTTCTACGACACGAAGGAGCCTGCGATCCTAGTCGACACCACTCTCATGGCATACGACGATGACGCTGATTCCGTAACCAAAGGGTTAGAAGTCAAGAAACTGTGTAAGTATACTAAACATAATATTTACATGTAAACAGCAGCTCATGTAGTGCAGAGATTGTCCAGTCATTGTTGACTGGAGAATCTCTGTACTCCCAGACAATCTCTGCATAAATTTCTTGGTGTATTGTGCATTTTTTTTTTCCGCCCGGGGAAAATGCCGTGCATACCCGGCCTCGCGGGGCCGAGGTCGGGTTATGTGGGGCTCGAACCCACTAAAAACCCCGGGGTGTGCCACTCACGCATGAGGGCGGGCCACAAGAACTGTACTATCGTACTTAGTTCGCGACCCGCCCTGCATGTGTATTGTGTACCTGATCTATCTTCTTGGTAAAGATTATTGACATATTATTTACAGCTAGAGATTCGCAGAAATCTAAAAATTTTCCTAAGAAGCATGGACAGGCAGTAAGTTGAGTTTTATATTTACTTTGATATCAATAACTCCATATAATTAACAATGAACTCAATGTTATAGTTCACACCATTTTTGAAGACGAACAAACCACCAATGCAATACTTCACGACGCCGCTACCGATGAAATCGAACGAATTTAATAAGTTCTTGAAAGAACACATGATGGACGTTGAGTCTGTTACCTCACCGACACTCGAGCTACCAACCTTTAATAATAACTGGGTCACTAGACCTCATAAACATCCTACTAGCACAGCTTTGAAGTCTCAAGCTGCAGTCACTAAAGCAAGTATTCAAAAACTAGCAAAAATAGACAGCTTAAAAAAATTGAACAGTGAGCTACTGAAATCTATCAATTACACCAGTCAGCTTATGGTAAAAGCCAAGCCGGCTGATCACTATCAGCCTTCACCGCGGCCACAAGCGAACAGTAAAAAAAATTCGTTTGAAGATGATTTTGATAGACAAAAAAGGTACAGTGAGGTCAGCAAAGTGCCACGAGTCGCGTCAGTAAAGACAGATAAGGTGACCCAAGAAGCCAACTACTATAACATGATAAAGAAGAAAATGAAAGAAAGATTGTTTGAGAAGAAAGGTACACCAGCAGAACGCCCGTCACATGAAACGGTCACACTAGATCCTCGGAACAAAGAAGTAGAAATCACTATAATAAACTTTGATGATATTGAAAAACTAACTACGCCGCAGACTTACGAAACGTATGCATTACCAGCGATAAAGAAAGAAGATAATAATTTGATGACCATGCCCCCGTACACGACAGAATTAGACAAGACTACAATGACAACATTACCAACAACATCAACGACTGAATTTGGGCCAAAATTCGATTTTGGTGTAAAAGATGACATGCATAATGGCTTACTTTACAAAGACATTTTTAGAGAACATGATAAAACGACAACGACATCAACAGAATTTTCTACGCAGGATAGTAAAAGCACAACTGAATATGTGGATCCATCTATGAATGAGACTCCCTCGACCACGAAAATAAGGTACCCATTTGAGAAGATACCGCAGCTGTACCCAAATATTTTGGGGAAGATGCCACACGTGAAGAATTTCAACGCTGCTCCAAAGAGAGTGCAAATCAGTAGCCACCACTACAAATACGATATCTTCTATGATGACTCTAAGAAGATTATGAAGTCTGTTTTTGACTGTAAGTATTAACACAGACAGTTTTCAGACCGGTTCATTATTTTATAAGTACATTTCTGTTGCTTTTTTAACTCCTGAATCAAAACAATGTCCTAAAATTTTCCATTTGACAATTACCACATACGAATGATCGACTGCATCGTTGGTGCGGTGGTTGGGCAACTGCCTGCCGCGCATCGTGTCGCGGATTCGGTACCCGCACGGAACAACTCTTTGTGTGATCCACAGATTGTTGTTCCGGGTCTGTGTATGTGAACTTGTATGTTTGTCAACGCACCCACGACACAGTACACATTCCTAATGCGGGGCAACGTTTTTTTTAAATAAAAAAAAGAATAATACTGTAGTGTAACAAGTAATGACTGATAAGTTCAAATCTATGATTTACTAGGTGACCCGGCGAACTTCGTACCGCCTATAAACTTTTTCTCACCTTTTAAACTTCCCCTGGACTTCCATGAACATTTCAAGACTAAAATTAGCCAAATCACTAGCATCCGTGCGTCACTGCGTAGGTGCCCACTGCAAAACAGTGCTGGGTGACTTGTATGCCTGGCTTACACTGAGTGGGTGACCCTTTTAGCATACGCATGTTGTCAGCGTCTCTCTTCTAATTCTTCTGTTTTAATTTTTCAACTCTTGTTTTTATTACTTCCACTGCCACACCTTTATTGTCTTTTTTATATTTTGTTTATGCTGCATCGTGCCTGGTGCTGAATAAATGTATATTCTTTCTTCTTCTTTCTTTCTAAATTGGTTCAGCTGTTCTCGAGGTTTAGCAAGATTAACGAAAGGAGATTTATTTTTATTTACATATATTAACAATTTCTGTTTCATTTCTTCCCCAGATCATACTAAAGAGCCCATGGACGCGGTAGCAGTGGGAAACAAGAGATCACAGCTGAGAGACAACATCGTCGTCCTACGTCACCCATCTGCTCCCAGTCAGTAATATATGTTTTATTATCTTCTGCCATTGTTCCCAATAGATAAAAGTAACTTAACTATGTGTTATTTCAGACCTTCATCTACCCTTGTTCCAAATTTCATTTCATCTGAATCCCCTTTTTGACTTCTTCCTTCTTATATCTTGTATACTATTATATAAAGCTGGAGAATTTGTTTATTTGTCTTCTTGAACGCGCTAATCTTAGGAACTACTGGACCGATTCCAAAAAATATTTTTGTTTTGTATAGTCCATTTATCGAGGAAGGCTTTATGCTATAAAACATCACGCTACAATTAATAGGCCTTGAGCAAGGTGAAACCGCGTGGAAGTAGCAAGTAGGGAATATTAGTAAGATGTAAGATTTCACATTCCTAGGAGCCAGAAGAACTAGCACAAGGCCCTATCTTGCCTGACATCATCAACACTCATCAATCGTCATCTTTAAGTACCCACTCCTGAGCAAAGACTTCTTCTGTATGGAAGTATAAGCATTTATCAATCTTATAGATTTTATGCTTTTTCTTTGGTTTCGGAACGGATTTATTTTCGTTTTTTTTTTAAGTGGAAAAATCACCGAATGACTTCGCCGTATCGGTATCAGCCCTATTGGGCCCCGTCCGTGGTTGGCACGCGCGGAAAGCGACGCGCTATATGGTGGAGTCTGATTATGGTCGGGCGGCGACCTACCAATGCTCGCCGTCCGCAGGCCCGTGCGTGCGGTGGCCGGAGATCATCCTACAATCCCCGACGCCCGGAACGGAAACCTTGCCTTAATATAACACGTTTTCTTAATATTTTTTTCAGTTCGAGGAAAGCAAGGCACCGCCATGAGTTTTGGGAAGAGATCTCAACTGAAGGACAATTACCCCAGAGCGCCTACTAGTGAGTGTAATGTTTAGCGTATATTTATATTTGGACTTTGCAACAAAAATCATTATATTCAACTTTTCCTTTTTCAATCATAAAATGACTACTCAACGACCTACGGCTGGCGCTCACTGCCGGGTACGTTATATCATGACATAGCCAAGGACTTTAGTACAAATGAAGTTACTTTGATCTTATTTCAATGAATTTAGAGTTTAATAGTACTTTATTTCGACACCATGGTGCCACGGGATGCCCAAGAATAATCTGCCGTGCCATGTCAGCGGTGAGCGCCGACCTCAGTGGTGCATTTTTAGACTTTGTTTAAGATATGAAAGTTAATTAATAAATAGTTGAAACTGTCACGAATAAGTAACTCGTGTAAAGTTTTTAGAAAAGGCGAGACAAAGATTGAAGTAATCAGAAAAATCGACCGAACAGCGAAGAGGAACAGGCATATAAGAAGGGGTGAGTTCAATTTGACACATTGTTTAATATTACAACATTATACAGCGCAATACAAAATACAGAGGAACATAACACAGCACAGCTCAACTCGCCAGCTCATTGACATTAGTCAAAAGACGTTTAATGCCGAAGAAAAACAGAAAGAAGAAGAAGAAGAAATATCCACATCGAACGCCGACTCGCCACTTGTAACCAATCGCTTCGAGTTCAGCTCACAAGAGTTCCATAAACACATTACACAATATAGGCAGAACACTGCATATTAGCTTAGCACATAAAGCAGCAAACAACAGTACGACGAAGCATGACCATAATTACGATGTGGGCAGCGGAGGAGATCCAAATAACGCAACCATTTAATAAGCAAGTAGTTTATTAAAGGTTACAATGATATATTAAAACTAAGTACTTAAAACTAGTGTCCTAACGTCCCGATGTTAGGCGACAAAAGGCGACATGAGAAGTCGGCGAACGGTTTTTATAAATCGATCAATTCGTGTTGCGCAATCTCGATGAATGACGATTGTATGATGTTCCTGGTATCTGAGGGCTACCTCGGATATAACACTCTGCATAACACAGAACAAAAGAAAATAAGAATACACCACACAACACCACAACACAGTAGACTACAATAGCATACAATAGACACAGCACAGCATAACGACGTATACTTAACAACGTAAGCTTAAACAGTTTCAGAAGAAGAAGTCACACACAAGCATAGACTGTTTACGTGGCGCGGATGCAAACCGAAGCCAGATGGAGGACTGTCAGCGCCTGGAGAGAATCCAGAGGACCAGTACACTCAGAAGGAAGTTCGGCCCTCCTTGAACCTCGGAATCGCAGCGGTTACCGTGGAACCCAACAGCGGTGCCGTTACCGTGGGACTCCGTAACGTTGCCGCCTCGGTGGAACCTGACATCACCATACTCCGTGAAGTCTCCACACAGCATGATGTTGCCATTATTGCTGCTGTTACAGGTTAGACAGAATTTGCGTTTTATAGACATAGGTGTTATGAGAGTGAAAAGATTATGAATCGTCTTAACATTACAAATGCCTTAGATCAGCCAAGATAATTTAAGGTTGACCAACTACTCAAAAACTCGCTTACCACCAGGCGAGATAGTGGACAAACGTCGCCCCATCATTTAAAAAAAAGAAAATACTGTGTTACCGAAAATATACATTTCTTTTCTCTAGGTCGCCCAACTGTCAACCCTGGTTTAGCACCCAGCTCGCCCACGTCAGCGTCAGTGTCAGCCCTCACAGCATCGATGGCAGCCTCCACAGAAGGGACCCCACAACGTGGCTCTCTAATCTACGACCTTAAACACCTTCGCCGAACCTCAGCCAGCCCAGCAAACAAAGACAAAAGCAAGGACAAAGACAGACATAGGAGACTCTTCAAGTTATCTGCACGTTAGTAGATAATTACTTTTTTATATTGTCACCTGATGGTAAGCAATCGGTGCCGCCCATGGACACCCCGTAACATCAGAGGATGGTTTATTGTCGAGGTTGTGAAAACACCCCGTACAAAACCAACCTTCTTATGCCAAAGCATGGCTCTCCAATTTAGATTTAGTAGCACATCTTTTGTGTCTCAGACTGTAAACTAAATATTTAAAAAGATTCCCGTGAAACGCATCGTACGTAGTGTAGAAAACGTCATACATTAAACTAGTCGGTACCTTCAGCGAGAGAGGAACTTTTTATAGACGACACATGTAATGTTCAATACTGACATATATAGAACCTGGATAAGACTCAATGAATAAAACTTATTTATGGTTTTTCATTTTGCCTCGCGACATAGTGCTGAAATGTTCCAACTAATGCAATCAGCTTCGCTGTCGCAATTTAACTTATCAACGACTTGATATTGACAAATATTCTATTTGGACTGAAGCTAAGTCAGCCCCTAGCGTACGGCACGTGCCTCAAAGATTAGACTACCACAGATGACATGACATCATAATGCTCGATGCAGAGCCACGGAAGACTTAATGTGTTACCGGGGCTCCGGCTCGAAGTAGAATTTGTCAATAAGAGTCTGATAATCTCTCGCCTCACCTAAGGCGGGAGGAGACATTGCATGATCCCCCCCCGGAAGCCCCCCGCTTAGGCTCAAGTTGGGCAACCACTCTCATTAGGAAAAGACCAGGAGTAAGAAAAACCATTGATCTTACTTTAGTATTTATTGTTTTCAGTATTACATGACAAATTCAAGAGTCTAGTGAAAAATTTGACGACAGCTAAGCGCGCCGACACAACAATATCGACCACAAAGCACGCGACAAAAGCTGACTCAAAGAGTAAGTCGGAACTTACTATCTTCTGGCCTTTTCCAGTTTTACTGCAGGCTTTACTTACCCAGTTCTTGTGTGTCAGTATTGTATCATTATGTAGCTACTGACGTCGGCCCTCCACTACCCGGTAGATCATAATTATCACATTCTTCAAAATGACTAGCTACTCCCGCCCGTTTCACCCGCTTTATGCGGCTCTTACTCATCGTAGCGTGATGTAATAGCCTTCCGCGATGTACACATACCCAGTACAAAAAAAATAACGACCCATTGTTCCAGAGATTAGCGCGTTTAAACAAACAGATAAACTCGTCAGCTTTATACATATAATTAGTTATTATAAAAGTAAAATAAAGTTATTATGGTTTTGGTTAGATTCGTTGTCTCTGTGTCATACACTCTGTGACATTGATATTTTTGAAGTTATTGTTAGGAATTATTTCAGTTCTTCATTAGTTGTCATCATTTCTGTCCGTTAAAATCCGGCTCCCAAGTCATTAACGAAAAATTGACAAGAGGAGAAGAGTCGGTTATTATATTTATTCATTGTTGTGTATATTTGCAGGTGATTCAGCCCCAACCACGCAACATAGAGCGAAGAAGAAAGAAAAAGAAGAAGACAGAGAAGATTTAAAAGCTGAAGGAATAAGCTTTACTTGCGGGCCAAAAGAAAACAAAGAGGTAGATCACTCTCTTTCTATGAAAGTAGAAGCTAGTCATTCTAGAAATAAAGAAACGCTTATAAATAAGTCCAATTAAAAACTAAAGTAAAAGAAGATCCCAAAAACCACCATAAGTTGCAAAAGCCGAAGAATTTCTTGAAGATAGTTCTACCTTAAGAATAGAGATAGATGCTGCATACTCTCCTCTCGCAGGATCATGGCACTCCAAAAGATTCAGGTGACTCCCTTCCTTTGCCAATGATCGGAATTAGGTGAGCCTTTTAAACAATTTTATACTCCGAACTAAAACCTCTTTCTGCCTCAATTTGTAACTCGTCAATTCTATGTCACAAACATTATCAAAGAAAATTGAGCCTTAGTGATATGTAAAAGTAAAGTTATTGTCAAACAGCTCCCTAATTCCGATCATTGTTGATAGCAGAAGGAGGATCTGAAGTGTACGAAGAAACCACTTAACCCGAAAACGACGACCACAACAACAATACATCACAAGGAAAAAGAGACCGAGGTTGAGACTGAGGCGACGACTGAGACGCAGAAGCCACACTATAATAAGTGCTTGGATCGCAAAGGCCACGTGGTCCATGACCTACCAAACGAACCCATTTACATAGAGCCTGACAACTACAGCGAACAGGTGAGGCCAACGAAGGTATTTTTGCAATCTCCCCTTTAATCTTATTGTCTTTTCATGTCAAACAAATCTGTTTGGTTTTGCAGTTGCTAAATCTAATTTAACTGCAATACTAATGACGGTTTGACACGGATACCCCTAAAAGTATATTTACCCCTGTCACTGTTGTAACATGTACAGTTTTAATAATAGTAAATTATTTCTTTGTTTATAGGAATACTATGAACTAGGGCCGCAGCATCACGATCCGACGCCTCCGCCACCGCCCTGCCCCTCTGAAGCAACCTTCTTCGGCAATCACATCGAGATCAAACGAGACGTTCAAACGCAACAGAATACCTTCACAGCCAAAGACGTAGCAGCCTTAGAAGTGATTGTAGATCTCATGAAGAACACCCTCAGCTATGAGGAGAAGGATATAGCCAGCGTCTTCCAAACAAACAACTACATGGCCTTACCACACGCCACAAAGTCCATACATCCATCCAACGAGAGCACAAATGCAATTCAAGTCCACATCGCTATTCCCTTCGACTTCCAAACTGGCAAGAAAAGATCTCCTCTTGATCCAGTGCGAGTGAGGAAGGTGTTCTCAGCTAAAATGTCAACGCCTGTCGACCTGGAATACCAAGTTCATTCGTTTGAGGGCACTGTCGATCCCACGACAGAACAGACTGTCACCACCACCAGCAAAAGTACCACCGCTGCTGTCAGCTCCCACGTGAGCGTAGAAGGAGCGCTGTCACCAGGCATGTATCTCTTAGTCGACAAACCAAAATCTGGTTTTGCTCTTAAACCAATCAAAGGCAAAATAAATTTATCCGATTTAAAAACGCGGCAAGTACCAGCTACCACTGCTAGCATGTCAGAATCTAAACCAACTGAAACTAGAGAAGAAACTAAGAGCATAGCAAGAGTGACTCTGAGCAAAGACTTCATAGCAGCGTTCAATAAACAACTGATACAGATGTACGAAAACGTGAGCCGAGCGACCCTGGAGCACTCTAATAAGCCGCGGAATGAAAGACAAATTTGGAAATCTCGAGAGATAAAAGCAGTGACCGAAGAATATACAGGTGACGAAGAAAAATACGTGTTCAAGAGACGCATTGACTGGGACGCTGTCAAAAAGTATTTCGGACATGATAGAGTTTGTAACTGCAAGTGTAAAACTGATAAGGCAATGTGTAAAGCGTGCGCGGCTAGCGACGCTGTTATAGACGAACTTATATTTGAGTTCGACAACATAGGCCAGTACATGAAGGACCACTGCACGGAAATACAAACGTTCTTCTGGATGAACCCTGGCGGGGGACAGAAGCTGAGAGACTCGGTGAGCAGGATCGACAAGAGTTTGGCCGACTACTACAAAAGAGTCAGAGGAAAGTGCCAAGGAAGAACTTGCAAGACTTTTACTACTTACATTGACAAGAGACAATTATTGGTGAAAACTTCAAAAGAGACCAGACCAGATTCTTTGACACACATGAACAGTGAGTTAGCAGTTCTCGCAGACGACTTGGACAAAACTGTGTCCTTACAAGCATGCTTTAATCAAAAACTTATAGAAGAAGGCGACAAGTTTATCAATATACTAAATAAATGTATTATGAAAAAATCAATAGAGAAACGATCAAACTCGCCGCAAAGTCCACCGAAGAAGAAATTGATTAAAAACGTTTACTCCCTCGACAATATCAATGTTAATATAATTTGTAATCCAGAAAGTTCTCCTTCATCTGAATCGTTTGAGCACACGTCATCACTCGCACCACGTCAAGACGTCACGTCGTCACATCTCAACGACCCACTCTTCGACTACGTTCTTGCAGAACCTAAACATAAAAAGCGCAAAGGATTAAAGAAGTTGTTTCCACGCAAGAGTAAAAAGAAGTTTTTCACATATTACACCTCAGACTACACTAAGCGACCACGCCTGCACTTCAAACGGCAGGTGAACTACGGCATGATGACTCCATTGATATCTGACGGTGGTGGCGCATTCTGGTATGATTACATAAAACCCAGCACAAACGAACCTCGCGTGGCCAGAGAATCGAAACAAGATAAATCCATTCAAATCGCTGTAGTACAGAAAGAGGCGAATGGGGCGCCAAAAATCCAAAAGATAATGGACAAATCCGTTCGACATCCTACTTCGAACGCTTTGTTTATGGCTGTGAAGACTACTCCAAAGAGGAATTTCAGGGACACAGAAACTACGATCGATTACTTGACGCACAACATCAATCAATTACTGCAACTGTTTGGGAGTCTACAGGACATAGAGACAATGAATAAAAACTCTAACAGATCCACAATGTTTCTAAATCACACGGCAAAGCTTAAGGATGATCAGACTAGCAAAATTCACACTGACTCAGATAAAGCAGCGCTAGAAAAAAAATCAACTAAATGTATTAAAAAAGTCAAAACCAAAATGCATTATAAAACTGATGCTACGACAGAAAAACCTACAACTACTAAACTGAAGGCGAAAACAACAACAACAACAACACAACAAACCACACTAACTACTGAACACACGGAAAAACAAAGCCAACATGATGAAAAAGATGTCACACTAAAAGAAAAACAAATGCAACAAAATGAAAAAGATATCCCACTAAAAGAAAAACAAATGCAACAAAATATAAAAGAACCTGTTTTGAAAGAAAAACAATTAGAACAACATGAAAAGGAATCTGAGTTAAAAGAAAAACAATCTGAACAAAATGAAAAACAATTTGAGCAAAATTATAAACCTTCTGAATTAAAAGATAAACAATTTGAACAAAACGATAAGCTTACCGAAATAAAGGACAAACAATTTGAACAAAATGATAAACCTTCTGAACTTAAGGATAAATCATTTGAACAAAAAGATAAGCAGTTCGAACCAAATGACAAACAGTCTGATCAAATTGATAAGCCCTCAGAATTAAAAGAGAAACCTTCAGAACTAAAAGACAAACAATTTGAACTGAATGACAAACCTTTAGAACAAATTGAAAAACCCTCTGAACTAAAGGAAAAACCATTTGAACAAGGCGACAAACAATCTGAACAAAATGAAAAACAGTCTGATCTCAGAGAAAAACAATTTGAACAGAGCGAAAAACAACCTGATCAAATTGATAAACCAACTGAACTAAGAGACAAACAGCCTGGCCAAGTAGATAAGCAATTTGAACAAAATGATAAGTCTTCAGAACTAAAAGGGAAACAGTTTGAACAAAACGACAAAACTTCAGAAGAAATCGATAAACAATTTGATCCAAATGACAGATCTGATGGGGTGACAACTAGCTTAGACACTCATTTTGATTCGCTGGATACATTAGAATCAAAGATAGAGAACGGAACATCAAACTGCAAAACAACAAATGCGACCAAAAGCACAACTGCGGCACCTGAACCTAAAAAGTCTGACTGCTGTAAACAAAAATGTCCACCAAATCCCCTAAATGCCAGCGATACTATAATCATACGGGATACGACCAGTCTGATGATGGGCGGGAAATCCAGCAAAGATAAAACAACCAAACTTGGAAGCATATCCACCACTATAAGCCCAGCAAATAAGTCAAGTCTAGAAACGACTCCAACAAAAAAGGATGAATTTGCCGATCCTAAAGCACCAGTTTTTGACGAGGGAGAAACTACCTCGAAAGTTACTACAACATCTAGAAGTTTCTTGGGCAAACTGAAAACGGCTACGTTGAAGTTTTTCGACAGCGTCACTCATAGGCCAAAACATCCTCAGAAAACAGTAAAAACAACCACTGATACTACTACCGAGACAACGATATCCACGCGAGCAATAGATAAAATTAGCAGCACAGAGACTGACCCTATGTATTTCGATGACACTCAAGTCACTACACGTATAAGTCCAACTATAGTCATAATAAACGAATATGACAATCAGATTAACAGCGATATTTTAGATGATCCTAATAAAGACGCGAATGGATATAGAAATTTGTTACTGTCCATAATACAGTACGAAACGAACAAGTTAAATGATGAATGGCATAGAATTGCTTATGGCGATACAGAGGAAGTTGGTCTTAAAAGGAGTGTTTCACAGATAAATAGACTTCCAACTACAACTACGCCGACCAAGTAAGTTTTAAATTTATTTTGAGTAGATAAGATCAATAGTAGTAGTAGTTTTTTAAATAATATCTTCTGATTCACTTCGTTGCGGGAACCAAGACAGTTATTCATGTCTCTGGGACGCGCCGGACTTCAGTGTTCCGGTGTTTTCATGGTTGTATCTACTGTAGTTCCTGGCTTACAGGAGATGCAGCGGTTGTGGGAAATGTGGCGGGCTTGTTCCATTAAAAAAAAAAGAGCAATAGTACACTTTGTGTGTGTAAATATAAGTAAAACCGCGCTGTCAAATCATTTATTGAGTATACAGTAACAGAATTTTAGCCATCGTAAACTTTAAATAAATTTTTGGATTCTTTATAATCTTCTCACTGCAAGATAAGAGCCTCCACACTTTATTCCTTCTCTTCTCTACGAATCCTATCTATTCACTATCTTCTGCAGTCAATTCTAGCTGAAACAAAAGGAAAGGAAATTCTCATCTTCCAATAATCCAATAAAACATCCCATTACAATTTTTAATGGTTCCCATACTTTCAGATCAAAGAAGAAGCCAAAACCAAAACAAAAAGTGGCAACTGCTGCTGATGAAGAGTACGATGTCATCGAGGGCATGAAGGCTTTGACGAACCTGGAGATACCAGAACCTACGGCGAAGACCCGGAAACCAGCAGGTCTACTCAATAAGATTGTTAACAAAATGGGAATTAAAGTGGTAGCTCCCGAGAAAAAGCAGGTAAAACCTCGTTTGTAAGTCGATACTTTCCTATTTTAGGCCATCTCGGTCTTTTGCCTTTTTGGTATTTTGTAACTTTGATTGTTCAAAGGCAGTCAAGAAGCCTACCCTAAGGGAGGTGGGGAGCCGCAAGAAGCTGAATAGGAAGCGACGATTGAAGCTCAACAGCTGGAAAATGGAGCCTTCCACCATGCCGGACATTGAAAGTAAGATATCGTCTACACAAACGTAATAATCTATAATATTATCCCTATATTTTAATTACTTTAAATTTTCATATAAGGTTTGCAATCCTCGCCCCTTTGAATGAGAGACATTTTTGAATTTGTTGGTCAACTGGTCAAAGTTAGGTAACTAGAAGTCATAACCGTAAGCCTGTCTCCTATAGGTAGACAGAGACTATGGAGCGCCAATTGCTACGATTCTTATATGCCGATTATTTAGAATTACCTACCATGGCAACTCATTTCCTATTACACGGCTATCATTATGAAGAGACCTAGGAAATCTTGAGATGAACTCACACCAGTTGCCCAACGACATATTCATTGTTTTTACATGTATGTTAATTTTTTACTCCCTTTCCATAAGACAGCCCCCGGAAATGCTCACAATATCTCCTACGTTGGATAAGAAGCATTTCCGGAGGCTGTCCCCCTTCAGTCGATTCTCAGGACGAGAAGCAACTGACCCTAACATCTCACAGTTGTTTTTCTTCCCCAGATCGGCAAAGGAAGGTAGTGGTATTATATTTCCCGAATTTAACACACGTGCTTTGTTTCAAGAGGCCTGTGATTCTCGTCGGACACCCAAAACAAGTCAGATTTGTGACATACAGGCCACCATTGACCACATCAAGTTACTACAAAAGAAAGTACCGAAGAAAGCTTTCGAGATCTTAGTCAAAAATATATCTTGCTACAAATACAAAAATGTTGAACATGAATTCTTTATTCCATACCAAAAAACGGGAAAGAGGTGGGATTGGATTCGCAATAAGAGATGTCTCAGATTACAAGTCGCGAAGTTCATTGATGATGAGACTGAACTGGATGATCAATTCGATGTCGTAAGGTTCGATGATGATTCAAGTGATTCGTTTGACAAGTACGTTAAAGGAGACGATGGGATTTATAAAATAATTACCAGGAGGAAGAGAGGAGCTAGTTTGAAAGCTTTGGATGTAGGATTGAGGAATATACCGCCTTTGAAGCCTGCAGAGGTAAGTTGATGTGAGCATGGTTGAAGTTTTATGCAGCTCTTAAACCATGAAAACTTAATAGTGTAAAAATTAGAACGGCTAAAGCAACATGTTTGAAACAAATCTGAAATGTTGAGGATATTAATTTTATGGCTTATCCAATATAATAAAATAACTTAGTTTCAAACCACACTACGGATTACGCATGCGGGTCCCCTCATCTAGTCATATATGTAAGATGTAAAATACAATTAACTTTATGCCACCGTTTCAGAATGAAATATACATCATGGTAGGAGACTCGATAACCTTGGACTGTGTGCCGTACATCCCCATAGCGTCACCCAACAAGTTCCACTGGCATGCTGAGAGGAAAAGGATGCTTACTCATGACAATGTCAAGGTTGAAGGCATCAAGGTCACAATACTCAATGCAGAGCCAAAGAATATGGGGAGCTATACTTGTAGTATGGTAAGATACTCTTTAAGGTGTAACTCCAGCACTTTTGGAACCTAACGGGTTGCCGGGGCTCCAGCTCAAAGCAGGAGTAGGAACGGGGTGGCGTTTGGTTAGTAAGAGTCTGTCACTTCCTCTATTCCCCTCTATTACTGTACAAAAATTTTCACTCTGAAAAAAGCACTCTTGGATCATCATCAACAGCCTATAAATGCCCACTGCTGAGCAACGCCTCTTCCCACACGGAGAAGGTTTGAGCATTAATCACCACGCTTGCTCAATACGGGTTGGCGATTTCAAACTTGTAATTAGAAATTATAAGCCCAGATTTCCTCACGATGTTTTCCTTCACTGTTTATTAGTGGTGTCTATCTTAATAATCTTAGAAAGTACATGTAAGTAAGAAAAAGTCACATTGGTACTTGCTGTTGGTAAGTTTCGAACCCGGACCCTCATGAGGGATCCTCTGCATGAGAAGGGGGCTTAAACCTTCGAGCCACCACAAACGTACTTTTGGATGTGATGACCCTACTGTCAAGCGTGAAGTTCTTCCATTATTTTCTGTCACCTCATCACTAACTACCTATTCTTTCTTAATTATCTTTCTGTCATCCTGACACGCTTCTACTCGTATCAACCTTTTGTCTTTGAGATCTTTCATCAACTAAAGTTTCTTGGTTTGTTAAATGATCTGTGATATTAAGGTACAATCGGTTGTTTTTCTTTTCTAATTCTGTATCTATTTGTATAGCCATAAGCAGAGTTTTCTAAGAGGGGAAAATCATCGAATGACTGCTCCCGCCTGGATAAGACGGGAGGGAGTGTCAGACTCTTACTGACTAAAAACCACCCCGTTCCTACTTCCACACTTCGAGCCGGAGCCCCGGTAACCTTTTACATTCTCCGCGGCTCCGTATCGGCATCAGTCCTATTGACCCCCATCGGTGGTGGTCTGAAGGCTCATTGAGGCGTGCGCGTACGCCCGGGTCTGATTCTGATCGCAGACCCGTGCTTACGGTGGCCGGAGATCGTCCCGCGATCCCCGACGCCCAGAGTGTCCTTCGCGACGACTGGGTTTTGAGGAGTATGCTGATCTCTGCGTCACGCGCCCAGCTTCATAAGCAGAGCTATGATAGTAGTAGAATTAAGAAGGAGTTTTATCGGAAAATAATGTTTTATTTATTTTTAACTGTCAGGATCAGGCGGTGCAGAGACAAGTGCAGCTGATCGTGATGACGATACCAGAGTACGACGTGGTGTTCATGCCCGTGTACAAGACGGAAGAAAGCTGCTCTTATGATGTAAGTTACCCATATTTCGGACGTCCAATTACCCTCCCCTTCCCCAATCTCCCCAATCCCTGAATCCCCAATGATCCTCAAACTCCTAATCCCCAAAAGGCCGGTAACGCACTTGTAACGCCTCTGGTGTTCCAGGTGTCCATGAGCGGCGCCGATTGCTTACCGTGGTGATCCGTCTGCACGATTACCGGCTTGTGCCATAAAAGCTCCTTTCTAGAAAACATGATATAGGCTTTGCCATTAAGAACAATTTGTTCTTCTTTAGGACCTGAAAGCTATCCAGGAATTGGGCCCGCTGATGAGTAAGGAGTCAAGGTGTGGGAAGACCTGCTCCATAAGGATAGACGAACCAGTCTGCCAGAGAGACAGGGTACGTTGACCGTTTCTTATTGTCTGTACAAGGATAATAACAGTGTGATTCACACATCGCATCATCAGCCTATCAGTGGCCACTGCTGACCAAAGACCTCTTCTTACACGGAGAAAGTTTGAGTATTAATCACCACGCTTGCTCAATGCAGGTTGACGATTTCAAACTTATAATTGCAAATTATAAGCCCAGGTTTCCGACTTGCCTCGTTAACCGAGTGGTCGCAAGTGTATTACTGGGTTTTTAAGAATATCTCAGTAGTAACACGGAGTCTGTAATTGTGCCCGGTATATGGCAATAGGCTCACCCCCTATTACATGGGTCTCATAACATAAATAGTGAAAAGTGGGTGTTACATTGTAGTGGCATAATGTACACCTTTGCCTACCCCTTCGGGGATAAAAGGCGTGTTGTTATGTTAATTCTTCTCCCCTCCAGGGTACGAACAGTTCCCTCCTCCGGTCGACGGCAGTGATTTCCATGACTCCAAACCACCGCGTGAACTGCAGCCTGCAGTGTAGGAGGGACATCGCTTCCTCTATCGTCATGCTATCAGCTGTCAACACTCCGTATCTCACCGATATTGCTGGTAAAGATCGATTTGAAGATTTTTTTTAGCCATGTGGACTACTATACATTTGTCGCCATGTCTACTGTTCCCGCGGAGTATAGTCTATCTAAAGGACTAATTACCGAGATTGGCATCAGCGCCTTTAGATAATAATTCCTTATGGACTATAGTCCATAGACTCTAGCAAGTTGTCGTTGATGTTGATAATTGTTCTTTTAAAACTTCTTCTATCTAGTAGAGTACCAGCGCAAGGTCCTGTCTTGCACATGCTTTTTTTTAAAAAAAAAAGAGTAACGAATGGAGTTTCTTGCTCGTTCTTCTCCACTCGAATCGACATTTTGGAACGAGCGCCTAGCTTCACTGACGGACAGACTGACAGACTATTATTTATTTCATATTTGTTGACGTTTCAAAAGTACCAAAATATGGTTTAATTGAAATAAATGCTTTTGAGTTTGAGTTTGAGTTTGA